TCTGCACTGTGCCTGGGGTCCAAACCAGAGGGGACCCCCGCCCAAATCTTCCCTAGAAGCCACAGCGCATCTGTCCCTTGAGTCAGGGTACACAGCCTTTCTTCCTTAGCCCCAGTCCTTCCTACTCTTCAGGGCATCTTGGTGTCCTAATTCATTGGCACAGGAAATGCTTCTGTCTTGATGTCAAACTGGAATGGATCCAAAGGTGAAGGAGTAGAGCCCAAGTGTGCCCTGGAGCTACAGACTTCCAGGAGCTGAAGTTGCCAGCTAGCGTCAAGGCTGACCAATGGTCCTGGGCCCAGTCCAGGGCTACTTCTGACCCTTCCTACAGGGTGGCTCCTGACTTCTCACCTGGTTGGGAGGGACTGAGGGAACGGATGCCAGTGGAGCTCAGAGCTCTTGGTCGCTTGTTGTCAGGCCCTGGCAGTGCTTCTGCTCCAAGTGAGGCTGAGCAGCAGCCGTACTGTCAGAACCTTCCTGCAGGACAAGGCCCAGGGCGTGTGGCTGCCTTGCATGTCTTAGAAGTTTCTGGCTGCGGTTGAGGATGCTTCTGTAATTAGAATACCAATACAATGCTGGAGTGCTTGTCATTGCCCAGGACACAGCTCAGAACATCTAGAAGGTTCTGAACATTTAGTCTGACCCAGGTGAAGGAAAGAGCTGGTGCTGGGGACTCTCCAACAGGCTGGCAGTGGGCCAGAGCTAATGGTTGCTCGTGAACGATGTGATGTGGCCATCTTAACTTCAGGGTAGGAACAAGTCCAAGTGTCCTGGAGTCACCCCATGGCATCCAAAAGGCCTCCCTGAGCTCATCTTCCTGCAGATTTCCAGTTGCCAATGGATTCTGTGATGACAGCCTCCGGTGCATGACCCCAATGGGCATCTGCAGTACCCTGTGGTGGAGGTAGACACTGACTCTCTTGACTTCTCTAAGCTTCTTGCACTAGCAGCCTGGAAAGAAAACAAAAAACAAGAAAACAAAGAACAGTCTGGGTAAATGAGAAGAGGGCAGGTCCTCATTCACTAGGAGATAGCTAACGGACAGAAATGGGGGGGGTTAAGTGAAAGCTGGTTCTGCCAGCTACCCAAAGAAAGTGAAGGGTGCTGAGGGATGTGGGGCTCCAGCCGTGGACCAATACCTAGAGGCACATGAGTGCACTGAGCACAAGCAGCAGGTCTGACACCCTCCCACTTCGGCTGGGGCTGCACCCTGACCTCCTCCTGCTGGTTTGGTTGTGTGGCTTTTCTCAAAACTGCATTTGGGAAAAAAAGAAAAGAATGCCAACAAGGGTTGGAGAGATGGCTCAGCAGTTAAGTGGTGTGGGAGGTCCTTTGTCTGTGTGTTGATTTTATTGGTTAATGAATAAAGAAACTGCCTTGGCCTGTTGATAGGGCAGAACTTAGGAAGGTGGGGAAAACTGGACTGAATGCTGGAAGAAGGAAGGCAGAGGAAGAGAGAGACGCCATGGATCTGACATCAGAGACAGATGCGCTGAAACCTGGTAGGCCACAACCTTGTGGTGATGCACAGATTAATAGAGATGGGTTAAATTAAGATGTAAGAGTCAGCTAATAAGAAGATAGAGCTAAAGGGCCAAGCAGTGATTTAATTAATACAGTTTCTGTGTGGTTATTTCAGTTTTGGGCGGCCAGGACAAACAAGTAGCCTTCTCCTAAAGTTAAGAGCACTGGCTGCTCTTCCAGAGGTCCTGAGTTCAATTCCCAGCACCTACAAGGTGACTAACTATAACTCCAGTTCCAGAGGATCCAACGCCCTCTTCTGGCCTCTGTGAATACTGCATGCATGTGGTACACAGACAAACATGCATTCAAACACCCAAAGAAAAAGGAAATGATAAAACAATGTAAAAGTATGCCAACACACAGGAAGACGTGTGCAATAAAACCACAGGCACGAGCCAACGCCACACCTAGGCTGTCTCTTTTTTCATTGAGACAGAGTCTCACTATGTAGCCCTGGCTATCCTGGAACTCTTTCTGTACACCAGGCTGGCCTTGAACTCACAGAGATCTGCCTGCCTCTTCCTTTAGAGTGTTGAAATTAAAGGCATGTGCTAAAGGTGGGTTTCTCTGTGTAACAACCCTGGCTGTCCTGGAACTAGCTGTTGTAGATCAGGCTGGCCTCAAACCCAGAGATTAGCCTGCCTCTGCTTCCCGAATGTTGGGGTTAAAGTCATGTGCCACCACCGCCCGGCTTTAGCCGATTCTTTAGAGTTGAGCACTGTCACTCCCATTGCATGGGAGAAACTGAGGCACAAGGTTCAGCAATATATCCAACATCGCAACATCCAGGCAAGGAGACTTCGGCTGAAGGACTCTACCACTTTTTCCCCTTGGAGATCAAGACACTGGCTTTTAACATGGTTCTTTGGCTATGTTTGGACTAGACAGCTGAGGCTGGCCTACTCTACAAAAAAAAAAAAAAAAAAAAAAAAACAAAATAAAACAAAAAGCGTATAAACAACTTGATTCTTCCCAAGAACCCTGGGCTGAGGTACAGCTAAGTGGCAGAGCATTGGCCTAGCATTCTGGACTCTGTGCTCCATCCCCAGGACCACAAAAGCAAAACAATGATGGTGAACCCACCTGTCTGCTGGAGGGATGACTGGACTCTGCCACCTAGACACTGCTGCAGGTGTCTTCCAGGGCCAATCTGGGGCGAATATGTGACTACATGGCATTCTGTGTCTGGGCCCTGTTCTATGCATCCTAAAATGTGGGAAAGACATTAAAGAATTATTTGTAACTTGGTCCAGAAGCAGTCCATGTGGCCAGGTTAGGGGGCAGCTCCGTTGGAGTCAGCTCTGTTTCTCTAAGTCAATGGCTCCTTAAGCGTCCACTCAAAGCAACACTTTACACTGCCAATGGCAGGGTTATTAGAGTTCTGCACAATCAAATTGAATCGACTCAGACAAGTCAGGCAGCCCTTGGGTTGTGTTCGACTGATCTGGGCTATTGTAGATTCTGTGTCCACACTGTCACTCTCCTGGAACATCAAACTGCAGAAGGCACATTGACTAGCTCCCTGCCACTCATGGTTCCAGACCAGTTCCTGTACCCGGGGATCCCAACATTCTTAGCTGGCCTTTCCTTAGCTCTGAAGGACCAAGCCTATGTATGGAAAGCGCGAAGAAACCGCCTGCAAGTTCCCTGTGGCTCAAACTCTTCATTTTGCTCATTAAGAATATGGATCAGAAACCAGGTATGGGGTGCAAGCCTACAAATCCCAGAGTTTTGAAGGCTGAAGGAGAAGGTTCATGGTGAGTTCAAGGCCAGCCTGGGCTATAGTTAGTTCTCAGCAGCCTGAGCAACTTATCAACACACTGTCACAAACAAACAAACAAAAAGGACAAACAAACCCCAAGGGAGCACTGTGCCAGCTACCTTAACCAATGTTTGATGGCTTACGCCTGTCACTCCAGCATTCCAGAGGCGTATAGGCAGGGGCACCAAGAGTTTGAGGTCAGTCCAGGCTACATAGTGAGAACCAAGACAACCTGGGCTAGAGTGAGATCCTGTCTCAACCAAACAAAACAAATGGTTGGCAAACAAACCATGGCGGCATGTCACTCTTGTCAAGTTTGGCTAGCACACAGCCACCACCTCATTCTGTGCCATCTATGTAAGGGCTGTGGCAATATGTGGCATAGAGTTACTATGTGGCTGCAAAGACAAGAACAAGCTGGATAGTGGTGGCACACGCCTTTAATCCCAGCACTCAGTAGGCAGAGGCAGGCAGATCTCTGAGTTTGAGGCCAGCCTGGTCTACAGAGTGAGTTCCAGGATAAGAACAAAATCTGGCCTTTACATAAACTGTTACTAACCCCTGAGCTGGACTCACGAGGAACGACACTGCATCACCTGCCTGGTGGCCCTCTTGGTGTGGATGAACACACACTATTTTTGGTTCCCTGTCAATACTGAGGAAATTGTGATCTGCACCCTCAAACCTTCACACACATCCTTAAGGACAGGGTTAGAAGCTGTGACCAGGAAGCTGTCTTACCACCTGCTAACACCCCAGGTTTCCAATGTCCCAGCAGCATGCAGGCAACTCCTCTAACCCAGAACATATGGCCTTGGTGTGCTATGTATACATCTATGTATATATCTATATCTGATACCCATTTTCTCACAGTTTCGCCTTACTGGATTTCCATATTAGATTAAGGCATCCTCTCCCATGGGGATCAAGTCTGGTACAATACTGGGGTTGCCTGCACGAGGAGAGTGCAGTGTGGGAAGACTCTGCCTCAGCTCGCACTTCCTGACAGTGTGCACATCAATCAGCAAACCCGGCTAGGCCAGGCCAGGAGGCACCAGAGACGTTAGTTTCAGCTGGCAGGAGGACGGTTAACCTGGTATAGTTAGTATTTTTCTCATCGTTGTGGCAGCTGTCTGAAAAAAGCAACCCGAGGGTTTCCTTGGCTCCTGGTGTGAAGGGATACAGGCCACGGTGGTGCAGAGTATGACATGGTTGGTCACAGGGCCTGTAACTGGGACGCACACAGATGAACCCTCAAGTTTTTAAGTCTCTTAAAGTCGGGTTCTTAAGGCTCTGTGTGTATCTCTACTGCTGCTGTGTGCATGCGGGTCAGAGGACAATTCTGAGGAGTTGGCCCTCTGCTGCCACTTTTACATGGGTTCCAGGATTGAACTCAAACCGTCAGGCTTCTGAAGCAAGTGCCTTTACCTGCTGAGCCGTCTCTCTTCAGTTAACTCTCATAGACACACGTCTCCTGAGTGATTCTCTATCCAGTCAGGCTAGTAGTCAGATTTACTACAACATCTGGGAAAATATTCCTACCAGGAACCACAACTACCCTGCACCGTTTATTTTCATGGTTTCTTTATCTGTTGACAAACCTATCTCAGTTTTTGGCTGAAGACCCTTCTTTCAGGACAGAGTCCTCAAAGACTACAGCTATTATTATTATTTTTTAAATGTCTGAATCCCTGCTAGCTTTCCCCCAACTTACCTTCTGGTCAGCAGTCACTTTGCTGTCCTCAAAACACAGACCTCATAAAGCACCTGGGACAGAGGGCAGGCACAACCGCATCATCTTGTCCTGGTGACAGGCAGGACGTGGAACTGACCTGAATGGCAGGCTGCCATGGGGCAGGGTCAGTTGTTTCTGAGGGTACAGTGGTGAGGAGCCACAAGACCTAATCTACACAATCTGCCACCATGGTAGGGTGCAGGGGTCCACTGCAGCCACTCTGGGTGGATCCAGGCTCCTTGTCTACAATGGTGGCTGGGACAAGGGTACACAGTGCAGTACAGGATCAGGCACTGGGGCTGAGCTCAGAGACTGTTGGCTCAGCCAGAAGAGAGCAATTTCAGGACCACTTCAGTCAGCTGCACAGAGATGAGCAAGCTCTGGTGTAGTCCAAGGGGACCTGGGTCCTCAGAGCTAGTCAGAGTGCTGCCTGCCATCCACTTTAGCATCCCTCGCCCCCAGCAGACTGCATGGGCCAGGCATCCAGAGCCAGGCTCCTTCAAGTGGACTGACAGGTGTAGTGGATGGAGCCAGCAGAGGCCGCAGAGGGAGGCAGTGGCCCTAGCCAATACGGGTGTCACTTTAGCTATAAGTTCTCCGTGACCCAAAGCTGTTCCAAAGATGCCCCTGAGTAGGATGAAGTAGTCTGGAAAATGGCTGGAGCTGCAGTAAGCTCCCAGGGAGCACCGTGTTACCACCAAGTGTAGACTCACAGGGCGGAAAGCCTCTGTGGGTTCTCACGTCTGACAGGTGAAATTTCCTTCTGATGACAGAGACACGGCAGCCAGATGAGCCATCAGTAGCATACTGTATGAGAAGCCTAGACCAACATCTGATGTTTGACAAAGATCCACAGTTGCAGGCTGCCCTGCTCAGTGCTTCTTCCTCAGATGACGCTTCCGATGCCGGATGAGGCAGGAGCTGTAGGCGAAGGTTTTTCCACATTCCTCGCAGCCATAAGGCTTCTCCCCAGTGTGTGTTTTCTGGTGTTTCAGAAGATTGGAGCCACAGTTGAAGGCCTTCCCACACTCCCCACATTTAAAGGGCTTCTCACCAGTATGGATTCTCAGATGTTTGGTGACGTCTGAGCTGTGTCTGAAGGTCTTCCCACACTGGTCACACTTAAAGGGCTTCTCTCCAGTGTGAACTCTCTGGTGGCGGATGTGGTCTGTCTTGTGTTTGAAGATTCGTCCGCATTCACCACACTCGTAGGGTTTCTTCCTCTGAAAAGGAATAAATACGGGGACGCCCTCAAAGTCATCTTTAAATGAGGCATCAAAGGCATCAAAGATATGCGCCTCATCTTCGGGACTCAGGACAGGCTGTTTGCGGGGCTTCCGGGGCCTCGCTGACCTCTTGGTTGGCCTTTTTGCCTTGGATGCTTTCTCTCCTTTGACACCTTTCTCCTTTGGAACCCCCGCTTCCTCCTTTGGGGCCTGGGTCTTCTTTTTCCTGCCTGCAGGCTTTTCCATTGCTGATCCAGGAAGTGGGAAACACCCTGGAAGCCAGGGAAGGCCGAGGGCTCCCAGACAGCAGTTTCTCTTTCTTTGTGACTTCACTCTGTCAGGGACAGCTCACCACACCTTGCTTATGAAGCTGCATTTTGGCATCCAGCAGACGGAACCAGAACCGCCGTCCTTTTGCTTCTGGGGACAAAAGCATTGACAACAGGTCAAAGGCAGCTCTCGGGGCTGTAGTCCCTCCACTGGCCTTCCAAATGCTCACTTGATGAGCTGCTCAGACTAATGTGGACTCCCCAGAACCCCAGTCTACTTCACCGGTCCATAGCACGCTCATCTCTTGGAGTGGTGTTCTCACTGACTCAGCCACTGACCAGGACCTGGCCTGAGGACAAGGCTTTCACTCATCCCCCAGAACTCCAATCCAACCTGGACCAAAGGCCACTACCCACCTCCAAAATGGAACCTTCCCTTCCCTTCCTCATCCTCTCCACCTGCCCACTTTGGGACTGTGCATATACCTTGCAGCAGAAGGAAACTCCACTGCACACAGCCTGCTTCTGTGCCTGAAAACTCAGGGCTGTTCTCATAAACCTTAGCAGCCAGCAAACCCCATCAACACCCCCAAAGGCTCCCCTTGTGCTGCTGAGTCTTTATGTGAGAAAGGCTTTTCTTTATCTCTAAACCTGTGCCATCTCTTTTACCCCTGGAGGCCTGAAGGGGTGGGCTATGCTGAGAGTCCCATCGAGCCTCCACGCCTGTCCAAAAACACAGCTGCCACTTTGGGAGCACACTGTATTTTGTTCTAAGTATTCGACCGACGCCTGCATATATAACCCAGCAGATAAAAGTCTTATCTGGATTCAGAGTCTAAGCTCAGCTAGGCATTTGCCTGCAATGTCTGAACGTCAGCATCTGAATGTGTTCTGTCTTTTGTGGGACAGCTCAGGAGGAGACATCTGAGAGTCCCTGTCGGACAGCCCCCAGACTCAGTACCAATTCAAACACCATCCCTCCGGTGAGAGGAATCACGAGCGGGACCTAGGTGTCTTGTGTTAGCTCACCAAGGCGCATCCTCAATGAAAACTGAAAACAGACATTAAAACCAACTGCCCCCTCCCCTCACAGGCCCGTGCACAGGGGTGGGTGCGAGTGATTCAGGCAACTTAGTTCAATGCAGCGGGCCTAACGGCTCAGGTCCATCACAGGGCTGCAGGACCTGGCGGGACTCGGAGCTCAAGTCACCCAGCAGCAAGGGGCTTCGCTAGGAAACCCGCCCCATTTTCCCCGCCTCCGGGACCTCCGCAACAACACCGAGTGGCTAGCGGCCCACGGAGAGACGACCCAGAAGCCAATCTTCGCCGGGCCCGGGTCACCGAGCGCGCATGCAAAAGGTACCTTGGAGGGTGTCGAGTGCAGACGCCGTGGGCAAGGAGGCGGGTAGGTGGACAGGAGGGAGGGCGACGGTTACAACCCCCACTTGAGCCCGCCACTCCCGCGCCTGAAGGCGCCCGCCCCTCTGGTGCCGCTCTACCTTCCCCGGCCTCTCGGTGGTGCTGCGGCGCGCTCCACAGCCCCGCCCACCGTTCTCCGCGGTCTCCGGTGCCTCTCTAGGAGTCCTTGTCGGACTCTCAGTGGTACCGCTGCAGGCCCCTAGCCCCGCCCTCTCATTCACGCCCTCCTGGCGCCGCTCTAGGAGCCATCGCCTGGCCTCTCTGTGGTGCTGCGCTTGGCTTCGTAGACCCGCCCACCTCCCCCAGCCCCTTCGGGGCCGCTCTAGGAAACAGGGCCGGACCTCTCGGTGGTGCTGCGGCTGCGGCCTTGCGCAGAGCTTGAGGGGCTGCCAAGGAGGCGTCTGCGTCTATGTAGGCTTCTGGACAGCGGGCGGCGCTTTTCTCCCGGCGTTCACCCGTGCGAGCCGCCTCCTCATCCCAGGCTCCAAGCCGTCCACGTCTTCGGGTTGTTTCTTAGTCTTCGGGCTTGTCACTTGTTCGGCCCAATGTCCATCCGCCCCGGGACGGCGGATGCCCCGTGTGCACGGCATGTGGCCGCCCTGGACCCGACTGGCTCTCCAGTCAAAGCCTGGTTCTGGCCTCCTCCGCTCTGTCCCTGATCCCTGGCTCCTGGCCTTTATCGCCAGATACTAAAATCTAGTCCCTTCTGCGTTGTTCCCACTTTCTGGATACATTTCTCCCTCACTATGTTTTGTCAGGTTGGCTTAGAGCTAGCAATCTGCCTCGGCCTTTCTCAAGCCCCAGGATTATAGGCGTGCCCTATGGCGGCGTTTGGAGATGGTTGCAATTCAAATCAGATACAAGAACCGATTGAGAGCTGCTGTATGTTTGGCTGAGTCTCCCTGGGGACGCCATTTTGCATGACTGCTATACAATGTTAGGGCCTTCTATCCTGGAGAAGCCGGCCTCTCAGACCTCAAGCGAACCACTAATCTGTCGTCTCCCCTTCCCCTTTCAGACTCAATTGTCAGCATGCTAGACAAATGTGATTGTCCAGTGTGCAGCTTGGGAGCTTGCCTATTATCGCCCTGGGGGTAGCTGTCTAGATTCACAGGGTGGCTGTGTATCGAAAGGCGATCCATTCAGCCTCCTGAAGGAGCTGCCTCTGCAGTTTGCGCGCCACGGCTTGTTGGAACCTTTGCCCCATGAAGGCTGTGTCGCAAAGTTGCTGTGAAGACCCCCGTTCTGGTCCCCCTGGGACCAAGCTTAGGAATGCAGTTGCTAGGTCCTAAACTGCGTTATTTCCTTTAGTGAGGATCAGCCAGGCTGCTTTCCGGAGAGCCTGTGCCATTTCTCATTCATTCCTACCAGCAGCACGGGGTTTCCTGCCTCATCAGCATTTGGTGAGGGGGTGGGTAGTAGGCATCTCCTTGTTTGCATTTCCCAGAGGGCTAGTGGTCTGTATGCTACCTGCATATAGCCCCCAGTGACAAGTCTCTTAGCTATCTTTAATGAGGTGGGCTGAGCTGGTTGTGGATGGGCTGTAGATACAGTCCTTTGGTCCTGCTTTATCTGGTTCTCAGACAGGTTCCCCCACTCCCCCACTCCCACTGTGCTCTGAGTTCACTCGTGGAACAGTTTCGTTGTGGAGTGGCTACCCTCTGGAGAATTATCCTCTTCTCTTGTTGGTGGGATTCAATTGCTAGGACCATGGCCTGGGCTCGCTCACATGGTCCAAGCTTTTCTCTAAGAGGGCAGTGAAGTGTCTGCTGTGAAGTCCTGGTGTCTGGCCTTTGCATCTGCACACATGTCCCCTTTGTTTAGTGACCGGAGGAGGTGCCATCTTCAGTGACATAGGACTGGAATGTGTCTGTGCTCTGGAGAAGTCCTGATAGTGGCTGTTCCCATGGGAACCTGGATACAGAGTATGTGGGTCGTGTTGGCCCTCTCAGCGTTGGCCCTCTCTACTACAGCATCTACCTCCCCCATCCCCTGGGTTTTCCAGCCCAGCAAGGAGCAATAAGGCCACCTTAAATGACCACCTTCCGTCCTGAGAGGCCAGGAGGCTCCAGGGAACCCAGAGGAATCAATTCCCTGGGCTCTGTCCCTGTCAGTGGAGCTCAACTCTTGTCCAGCACCAGACAAGGGCAGGAGCAAGTCACCCCAGAGTGGGTATTTGTCACAATGTCAGAAACATAGGTGAACACATTTGTGTCTTTTTTTTTTTTTTTTTTTGCAATGCCAGAATTTACTGAATAGCAAATTCACACGCTACATTGGTTTCTTTGTTATCTATCAAAGGGTCCTGATTTGCCTTGATAGCGACCGCAACAGGCACAGCTTCTTTTGTTCCCATTGTAACTACTGACGTTCCTACCTTATTCTCTGTGAGCATACCTTAAACAGCACACAGTAGTTCTGTCTGGAACTGTAGCCATCTCCCTATCAACTCTTCGTCTGTCTATAGGGTAGGTTTCAAAAAGGCTGTAACAGGGTTAAAGAGGCTGCTGCAGACTCCAAAGGGGCCTTAGTGGAGGTGGAGGCAGGAAGCTGCCGGAGATGCAGCATCCCTGATGCAGGCAATAGCAAGTCCTGTCGGCCAGCTGCTGCTAGAGATCCCAGCAGAGCCAGGTTCCAGAGGTAGAGTTCAGCTGAGCTGCAGGCTGGAATGGAGCTGAGGAAGTGAGATGAGACCAAGACGGTGGAAGCAGTAGAGGCAAAGGGCAGAAGTGTGTCCGGATGGGCAGATGGATGGACAGATGGACTTGATGGACAGATGGACTTGACAGTCTCAGCAGTGAGGACCATGCTAAGTCAAGGTCCTTGGGGGCAGTTGGGTGTTCTTGGCTTGTTGGTTTCTCAACTCAAGTCTATATACAGGGTGGTCAAGCAACAGGTTTGTGGGGGCTGTCTCCATCATACTATTGGATAGCCTGTCTTTCCTTTCTTTGTGTTTGTGTGAGTATGGGCACATGTATACCTGGGCATACATACAGAGGTCAAAGGATCACTTTGAATGTTGGACTCCCCCTCCTATCTTGTTTGAGACAGGCTTTCTTTATTGTTTGTTGCTACATATGTAAGACTAGTTGGCTCATAAGCCTTTGAGGGGTCACCTGTCATCTCTCCCATCTTGCCATAGGAACACTGGGATTATAGACATGAGCTACCACATCTGGCTGGCCACAGCTTCGGCCCTCATGCGTGTACAACAAAAGCTGTACCCACTAAACCTTCTCCCCAGCCCTGGTTTTGTTTTTTATTTTATTTTTTTCATTTTTCTGGGACGGTTTCTCTGTGTATCCCCTGGCTGTCCTGGAACTCACTCCATAGACCAGGCTGGCCTTGAACTCAGAGATCCACCTGCCTCTGCCTCCCTGAGTGCTGGATGAAAGGTGTGTGCCACCAAGCCCAGCTTTGTTTCTTAACTTAAAAAAAAAGGTGTGTGCGTGTGTGCGCATGCGTGTGTGTTATGCGAGCATGTGTGTATGCCCTGTGCACATGTGCAGTTCAGAGGAAGACGACATCAGGCATCCTATCCTGCCATGCTCTACTGTCGCGCCCCACCTCGTCCAGCAAGGAATGACGCGACCACCGGAGCTCTTCTCACTGCAGTTTATTCCAGGACTTTATTCACTTTCTCTCTCTCTTCCTCTCTCTTCTCTCCTCTCTTTCTACCCTCTCTTTCTCTCCTTTACCTCTCCCTCTACCCTCTCTCTCCGGGCAAACCTCTCCCAGCCCTTAAGTAGGCATGGGCTGCCAACCCCGAACTGCCAGGTGGGCACTGCCCATAGGTTCACGCATATACAGGCAGCTGATAATCATTGTGTGATCATAGCATAGGTCAGGCCTTAGCCATCTCAGGAGTTGATTATACATCTCCATCAGGTGTGATACCACGCAGCTCGCTACACTCTACCTATGCCCTTGAGACAGGATTTCTCACTGAACCTGGAGCTAGCTGGCAGGAAGCCCTAGTGATTCTCTTGTCCTCCTCCTCATACCTTTCTGGGGCTATGTGCAGCCTTGCCTGGCCTTTTGCTTTTGTCCTGTGGGTTTGAGCTCAGATCCTCATGTTTGCATAGCAAGCAAGCACTTTAACCCTGGACTGTGTCCGCAATCCCAAGAGGGGCTAATTTTATAGAATTATTTACATATTTTTATTTAATTCTTTTACACCTGGGTTATTAATAAGAATTTTGGTCAAAAGAATAGAGGCTCTGAATCATTTATTCTGCCCCAGGTGGAGATGTGACATTCTATACAGCTCCAAAGAGCACAGCATCGCTCTCTAGCAAGGGCTTTGTGGTAAGAGCTATTGTCCTCTCCCTTCAGAGTTAATCCAAATGGCTCTGTCACTCACCTGGGCAGAAAAATGCTCTCAAGAAAGCCAGCTCTTCCAGAAATGTTAAGAAAATCATCTAGGCCCAGCAAGAGGGCTCAGCAAGTGAAGGTGCTTGCCACGGAGCCTGGTGCTCTGAGTCCAGCTGTAGGATCTACATGGCAACGGGTCACACTGAAACAGCACAGGTTTTATTGGAAAGAGTCCTGTGGAGGGCAGAGCTGCAGTGCGGGAAAGCAGAGAGCCCAGCTTCTGCTCCCAAGCTGAGGTAACTACAGGGTAGGAAAGGGAAAGGAAGAAGAAGAATAAAATGTTCCTTTTAAAGCCCACGGTGGACTGTTGCTAGGGGTTGCTAAGGAAATAAGGCACGTGGTGAGTAACAGAAGATCAGGTGATTAATAAACATCCCTCATGGGATGGTAGGCTGGGGGCACCACGAATCAAGAGAAACAAGTCAGTGGGAAGAAAATTACTTTAATTTCAGGAATTGCTGTTGTTTAACCAAAATGGAGGAGCTTTACAAAATGACATGGCCATGGCTGGCAGGTCCCACTATCAGGGTCTCTGCTGTGGAAGAAATCTCTGGGGTGGGAGCCACCGAGGACTCTGAGGGGGTGACTAAGAGTTCCTACAAGTGAGGTGCTCAGGGCGACTGGGGGCTCCATGCTGAATCCTAATAGCAAACATTCGCGCTCTGATGGGTGCTGGGTCTGAATGTGCTTTGATTGGT